TGTTTCCAAAGCACGCTTAATTTTTCTTGGTTTGATTTCTGGGATCCCATCACAAGCAAAATCCCAAGAAAAGCGGTCAATTCTTGATCAGTAATTGGAGTCCATATAACAGACTTTTTCGTAGGATTTTCAGCGTTCCATTTACGATAAAAATGTTCAGCTTTTTTGTTAGTAAATCTACAAATTTGGTCTCTAACGGACAAACTCATAATACAAAAAAATGTATCCATTGGCGATAAATTTTTGGTAATTGGACTAGGCCCCATTGACAATGATTCTCGAATAATATTATGGGCCCCTTGACGGGAGAAAGTAGTATTTTTCTTATACCACTTTGTACCATCTCTGCTATTGAAAAAAGTTTCATTAGAACTGGCCACTTGTTCATCATAATCACTCTCATGGTTATCAGATTCACTGTCACTGTTCAGCTCTGCATTTATCTCTCCATTGGCAATTTCAGCATCAGAATTAGCATCTTGCTGATCAGGCAAATATTCTTCATCACTATCGGCGCCTTCATACGGATCGTGCCCAGCTTCATCTGAATCAGATTCGGCAGCCAACATATTCCGAAAATAATCCTGTCTGTCTTCAAAAGACATCCTAATTTGGAAAAAACAAATTACAATTTGGTAAAACTATTTATAAAGAGGCATTTTTTAAAAGCAGAAAAAATATATAAATAATATTTTTTTTTTAATGTTTCTTCTGTATAAGTATCATGACCAAACCTTACCTGGAAACACGTGCCGCAGAAAGATATTCAAAATTGCTACCGCTATCCATATTTTAACCTTCAGTAAACACAACCTCTCACAACAAATATTGAAGCCGAACTGAAATTGTTCTAACAGATACGAGCACCTTGCACAAGCGCACCTATTGTATCTGTACCTATGCAACCCTATTTACAAACGTAACTGATTCATGGTTATCTATTCCGTTTTGTGATATAAAATATTTGAATATTTCTTGGGTTTGCATATTTTTTTTTTCATGCAAAATGTATTAAATATTTATTATCTACCGGGGTAGATACTATGTGTTTAGGTAAAAAAAAATCATCATGAATGCGAAGGTTAAAGGAAAAAATTGACTACAGGCAGTATAACTTGGTCATGTGTAATAGCAGAATAGTAAAAAGCCGGATACTAATCTTTAACATTCTGGCCTGACATTAAATATTCCATTGGTGTAAAAGGAAACAATTAATTACAGGCTGTATTACTTGGTCGTGTAGGTAATATCAGAATAAAATGCTAGTTATAATATTCCGGCCTGACAATAAATATTCCATTGATGTAAAAGGAAACAATTGACTACAGGCTGTATCACTTGGTCGTGTAGGTAATAGCAGAATAAAATGCTAGTTATAATATTCTGGCCTGACAATAAATATTCCACTTGTGTTAAAGGAAAAAATTTGACTACAGGCAGTATAACTTGGTCGTGTAGGTAATAGCAGAATAGTAAAAAGCCAGATTCTAATCTTTACTACTCTGGCCTGACAATAAATAATAAAATTTTAGTAATATTTTAACTTATTAAAAGGAACGGTACGGAAATTAAGACAATTGCAGAATATATTGTTCACTGTTAGATGTATCATTATTAGTGCTAGGTATGACTTCATTATCATCATCTTCAGATAAATGTAAAAAGCAATATAGGTTAATTAATTAAAGGCACAAAGTTTTATCACTAACAAAAAAAATTTTTACTCGATAGGCACAAAAATCAACGTTAGGTAAAAATTCAAAAACTATACACTTTTATCAGTATATAATAAATATATAGATATATCACTAGCAAAATAATAAATATGTGTAAATATGTAAAAATATGTATAAATAAACACTGAACCTAGTACAAAATGCAGATACAATATAAAACTTGACGAAACAATGCACACAGATTTATAGAAAAGGTTAAAATGATATGTAAGAAAGTATTAGTAAAAATATAAAAGACTTGCAGTTAGTATCCTTAATCTCTGTGAAATACCTATGTGAATTAGAACGATAAGTTATAAGGAATCTATTTCAATGAAACGAGCTATTTAACCCAGTAATTGAGGCGCCATTTTTGTAATATGATACTTGTTATTTTATCTATTTTTTATAGTGTTTTAAGCTCTAATGATTTTGGGAGTGGGTCAGGTTATTAAATAACTCGTATTACTTTGAAAAAGCATGTTGTATATTTAAAACTTACTAAACTTGACTATCGATTAGTGATAAAAATATAGAAAATCACTAACCATTAAGACATTGTAATTAAACAAAGTTTTAGATAAGGTATCAACAAATTCAAATTCACAGAGATTTACTTATTCAAATTTAGATGATTTATTAAAAATAGACTTATCTGTTGTAACAAGAGGTAGTATATAAGGAGTGATTTGTATAGGCCTTCTTCAAAGGGACTCGAACGATACTCTTCGGACAGCACCAAACTCCTAGGTATAAATCTTTATAAACTTAAATCTCCAGAAGCTTCTTCAGATGTACTCGAACCAAACATCTTGATATAGCTTGAAATAAACTTGTTGATAGAAATCACCATAAACAGTTTTAGATATATCTTAAATTAAACTTCTTAGATATGACTCGAAATTAACTTCTTCGATACAGCTTGAACTAAACTTCTAAACCGTCTAGATACAGCCAGGCTACAAGGAAAAGGTGAAAATATCAAGAAAGGAACTAGGAGATTTGCATAGGAAATAGATAAAATGCCTTTAACTAATAATTGAACAATTTAAACTATTAAGTGAATAGTTTCACAGAGACTAAAATTAATATGAAAAGGAAAAGTCTTATTTAACATATTTAAATATAGTAAAGCATAGTATTTTTTTCGTAACAAAATAATAGATACAATTATATAAAACGTGTAATCCGTGTGTTAGTCAAGTATTGAGGTTATGTTTCAAATTTGACATTTTAATTAAGAAATCTTTGTGGAAAATATATATTTTCAACAATATATCGGTATTGAAACTTACCTTATAAAATCAGACGGCCTATACGATATATAAATTTTTTTTAGTACATAGGATAATAATAATATAATATAATATAAGTGCAATTGTTTAATTTTTTTTTATCTCGTTTGTTCTTTTTGAATAAACACACTTAGATAATTGTTTTTCTTTTCAAATGTTTTACTAGAATTTGCTTATTGTAAAAAATGTATTTATTATTTAAACTATGTATAGAATTTATAGGGTTAGATGTAAGAATAGCCTTAGGCTAAATCTCGCCCAGGCAAATGTACATTCCTACATATTTTTTGTATTTTTGGTATGTACAAATAAAGGCCATTTATTATTATTATTATTAAGGGCTATTATTATTATTTGACGTGGCGCTCCGGGGCGACTTAAAGATGATTGATGGTACCATTTGACTTACAGGTGAGGAAAACCTCGCTTACCATCATCGAGACGGTAATGCATGGCGATTTTTTTTTTCTGCATGTCATATCAGCAGAAATTAAATTTCTATTAATACGGCACACATCAAATCCTAAACCGAACCATGCAATTTAATTAAAAATCCACATGGTCCGGTCTGGGATTCGAAGCCTAACAGTCTGAGACTCATAAACTTGCCTATAAATAAATATAAGCTAGACCGCTACACTACCGACCCAGATAATTAAAAATTTAAATCAACTTATTCGTTGACAATCGAAATGAAAAAACTTTTGACGCAAGGCATAAACGACAAATGACATTAGAAAAGAGATGTTTTCGTCAAAATAACGAAAACGGTTCCAACCGTTACAATGTTTGGGTCTAAATAACGAAAACGGTTCCAACCGTTACAGTAGAAAGATAAGCGAGGATGTGTTCCTTCTTAGACTCATGCTATTAATATCAAATTGGTTACACAACTCCGTATAATTACAACCACGTTCGGGATATACTCCATCAATTTTAAAAACTAGGTATTTTAAAAATTTTCTTTGAACCTGTTCTATATCCAGAACGTAGCAGTTGTAATAAGGGTTTTAACTTAGAACGCACGTGGGTACTAAATAATAATTTGAGGGGTGTTATATTTGAAAATTGTTTGAAGTTTCCAATAATAAATCCATATATTATAAAAGCTTCGGAAATTTTGACATGAATATGATTTGAGAAGGTTAATTTGGCATCAAAAATTCCCTAATAGTAGAACATCTCTCCAACTCATTATCTCCAACCGAATATGAGAATGGAATATTTTTTTTTTCCTAGAGTAAGTAACTATCTTACATTTTTAATCATTTATGTGTAACATATTTGTCTTACACCAGTTATTAATACAGTTCAAATTTCTCTGGAACTCATTGCAGTGATATATTTTTTTAATGCTTGAGAAAATCTTTAAATCATCCGCAAAACACAATTTATTACAACTAATTTCATTGTATAAATCATTAACAAATATTAAAAATAGTAAAGGTCCAAGATTTGAACCCTGTGGTACTCCAGATGTAACCGCAATTGATTCTGATTTAAATCCATTGTATATAACGAATTGTGTCCTATTTGTTAAATATGACTAAATAAAGCTAAAGTGCTGTTAGAAAAACCAGTCTCTGAAAGTTTTAAATTTAAAAAGCTATGCTTATCTCTATCAAATGCCTTTGAGAAATCCGTATATATCACATTCACCTGTCCTTGGTCATCTTATACATCTGCAATAAATTGGGTATTCACAGTTAAATTTGTAGTAATTTAAAGTCAGTTTTGGGAATGTACATGATATTGCCTTAGAGCCGTAAGTAGACTTGTTGGCGCCTGTGGCAAATTACAAATTTTGCGCCTCTCTCAACCTAAATTAAAAATCTGATGAAATATATATTTCATTCTAATAAAAACAGACGTAAGAACAAAAAACTAAAAATATCAAGTGAGTAATCTAAAAATAAAATAATTAAAAATATATTCTCTGAACAAAAACAAAATTGGTTTTAATCACATAATGACATATTAAATATACTACTTAAAATAGAACTTTTTTATATTTAGATTCAGCAAATATGTTTATAATCTCATCATAATTTAAATTAATTGCTGTTGATTTTTCAATTGAAATTATAGACATATTTGTTAGTCCGTTGTTGCCCTCTTCAAGAATGTTTACAACTTTTTCCAACTGGGAGTTTAAAGCATGGACAGCGTTAGCATTTGATGACGACCAGCTTGTATCGTTTATTCCTTTTAAAGATGCTTTAAGTTTGCTTTTCAACAGTCCCCAGCGGAAAGGTGATCCAACAGAAAAGTTGTATATTTGTTGAACTGTATCGGAAAAGGTTTGCATTTTTGGATTTATCTGAGCGCCATGAACTCTCGCTAAATTAAGACTATGGGCAGTACAACAGATAAATCGAACATTAATATTTACTAATAGAATTCGAGCCTGAACAACCTTGTACTAACCAGCCATATTCGCGTAATTATCATATGATTGTCCTCTGATGTTAGTTGTATCCTTTTTGTCAGCAATTAGTTTTTCCTCTATTCCTTTTGAAAGCTCGTCGCCAGTTTTCTCGTGGGTATTGATGAAATCCATAAAACTCTCTTCAATAGTACATTTCCTGGTAAAGTCAATATTAACGTAACGCATTATTTGAACTAATTGTTTCTGATGAGAGACGTTTATAGTATTGTCAAATAATATTGAAAAATATTTTGCAGTCTGGATATTCTCAATAATAATACGCCTCCTTACTTCTGTAGCTACCAGACTCGAGTTATGATCGATGAACCCATATACCTTTTACAGGAAAACGGTATCTGGTCGCCGGCAGTATAAATGAACCTCTGTGAACTGTGTGTGAATTGCTGACTCTATTTTTTTTCCTAGTAACATTTTAAAAAATAAAGGCAGTCTGATATCATAGCTTGTAACGATAACATTAACATTAAATACTAAATATAATTTATTTTGGGTTTTTATTTAAGAAACAGTAATAACAATTCTTTTTAAAAACATTTCTCTCAACGAGAGATTTATAAGTCTCGTTTTGTATGGTAAGGGAAAAAGAGGTCAACTGACCTTTATTGTGAACCTTAATGTGATCTTTAGTGATACTGTCATAGTGGCTAATCAGTTCAATTGTGTGTAGAAATTTGCCACAATTTGAATAAGCGATAATTTCAGAAGTGCCTCTCAGCGCATCATTATGTTTTATGCAATGTAGAATGGCATCAAGTATTACCTTCAAAATTGTTTTTCTCTTTTGCATAGCTTTTAAAAACTGATTATCAATAAACCCACTTTTGTTTAATTTTTTTTCGAATGCCTTTAGCCGGATGTAATTTTTACGGTGGCGTACCGTTAGGAGGCAATAATGGATTCGAATATTTCCAACCTTTAAATCCGGTTATCCAAACACTATTTCTATTATTACATGAAAAGCAAAGAATTGAGTCTAGCTTTTTGCAGTATATAATCCATTTTCTGGCCACTCTTTCGCCATTTACCATTATTTTCATTAACCACTGTTTTTCAAATTTTCTGTTTTCTGTTGTCGAACTAATGCGGCCCACTATCGTGTGCCCTTGCCCATCGTGCGCCCGTGGCAAATGCCACCTTTGCCACGCCCTAGCTGCGGCTATGTATTGCCTCATCATTTAATTTCGGCTTTCCTCTTTTTATTTTGCTAACAGTACCATAGGTAAAAAGAGTCTCATAATATTTAAACATATCTTTTAAAAAGTGTAGAACAGCATGATCTCTAGAATGTGCTCTATCGGCCCTAGGGACGATATACAGAGTGGCCCAAAAGTCTGGAAATGGCCAATTATCTTGTAAATTGCTAGTCCTAATTGTACAAAATTTGGGGTACACCTATTTTGGGATACGGATATTCCAGATTTGATATTTGCCAGATTTGTCGTTTCTCTTATATTATAAGTCACTTTGGTTTTTCAAATTCATTACCCTGTATATTTAATCATTATTGGAATTTCCTATTCAATACGAGTTCAACCATATGTAACACTTATGATTTTGTGTAGTCTGGAAGGTCTTAAATAAATAAAACAGAAGTCTGGCAACGCCTAATTGTCTCAATAAATTTTTAAATATAAACTACCTATTTTTGATTACATTAAAATGTAACAGTTGAAAGATAACATTTTTAACATAATGGTTACTTTATCAAGAGTTCAAAATGTGCTCCATTTGTGAGTTGACAGTACTATAATCGATGGTGGAATGCGTCTACCACATTTCTCCATGATTGTTTTATTTATTTAAGACCTTCCAGACTACATAAAATCATAAGTGTTACATATGGTTAAACTCGTATTGAATAGGAGATTCCAATAATGACTGAATATACAGGGTGATGAATTTGAAAAACCAAAGTGACTAATAATATAAGAGAAACGGCAAATCTGGCAACATTTCAAATATCAAATCTGGAATCTCCGTATCCCAAAATAGGTGTACCCCAAATTTTGTATAATTCGGATTAGCAATTTACGAGATAATTGGCCGTTTCCAGACTTTTGGGCCACCGCGTATATGCTGTCACTGTTCTAAGCGTTTAGGATCCAATAAAAAACATTTACAATAACAAAATTGTGGTCTAACAAAAAAATAACAGAAACAATTCTTTATCTAACATTAAAAAACAAATTTTCTTTTCTAGTAAGTTAAATTTTATGTATAATTATTGTTGTTTGCAAGTCAGGATCTATGACTGTAAAATTTTATTTTATAGAAACTTGTAATGAAATGAACTACACTCCGTGATACGTGTTTACAATAAATATTATATTTAGACATAAATACATTATTTTACTTAAAATAGAAGCTTTAAAAAGACATTGAATTGATTTCTCCTTGTATTTCCTTCAGTTTTACATCTGATTTGTATCCTGTTTTACAATCTGGAACGAAATTAATCTGGCTTAAATGTTTTTTGTCACTCATGTTACTTGTACAAAGGTACATTTTTTTAAACAATCATTTTATATACATTGACTTATATAGAAAATATAGTAGTGACGTTCGACCTGCCAACTATAGTCAATTTAGCGAACTGTATAAAAAGATGGACAGAAATTTGAATTTTGAACATTTCCGATTCGCCTCCTTCTATCCGATCTTCATAGTCCTGTGTAAGCACACAAAAATTTGTGTCAGAGATATATGAAGTGTTCGATAAGTTTCGACTTGTCTAATTTCAAAAGTTGAATAGTTGTCTATTTCTGTGATTAGCGTTGTGTAATATGTCTCGTATAAAAAGTAAAATTGAAGAATTCATAGATATTTATCATGAACACCCTGAATTACGGTAGGTATGTTTAAATTTGTGCAGAATGCTTCCAGAACGGTCATAAAATTAGACCAGGGCTAACGCCTTTGAAAATCGTAAAAAGTGAAAAAAAAAATAGTAGGATGAAACTTATTGGAAAAGAAAGAGAATATAACAGAAATAAAAGGAAAATAATATACGTGCGATCTGAGACCGGGAAATGGAAAGGGGTGAATTTTTAAGGTAAATGACGGTTTATCTCGATTTCCGGAAAAACAATTCCTATGGAAAAAAATTAAATAGCAAAATTGTAGGTAATAAAAAGATGTACAACTTTAATAATAAGCATCACACTTGGTTTCACTTTAGGACTATATTTTTATTTTATACTTTTTTTAATGGAATTGCAAGCCTCCCGCAACCCCCTGTCATACAACTGGAATGAAAGACGATGCTTTTACTGTTAGATATTATTTAAATAATTTATATTCAAAAAATAAAACATGCAAAAAAGGTTTATTGAAATATGTCATTACCTCCCGGACTAATTCGGTAACAACTCAACTGACAAAAAAGCCAAAGCTCTTTTAAAGTATAAACGTTATTGTTTTATTTATGATTTTCTTTATTTAGAAGAATTAGTGTTAATTTTTATTATACTATAGAGTAGAAGAACATTTTTCTACACGCCTCTGCTGTTCTATGTAATAACATTTAACATTGATCCGGCCCTGTCCTACTTCCAAGTCAGTGTTACTTTTTTATAGTCGTATATCCACATGTTCTCTTCGTAGAAAAATATGTTCCGTCTTTTTGAGGTTGGAACTGCATTTTATATATCGCTAGAGTGGCTGATAAGGGCAAAATTTAATGCAATGGAATCTGCAACAAAACATTACCAAGAAAACGGTATCTCTAGCTACGTTCTTCAATGTATGCATTCGAATGTAAAAGGCTGAGTAGTAAAAGAGAAAGAAGAAATAAAACAAAAATGAATAAATCATGAAAGCAACGAATACTAATATAAGAAAAATGAAACATTGCCATTGATATGTATTTTTAAATGTATATTTTATTGTATCTTAATAGCTTGATAATAGATTTATAAAATATATTGTTTTAAATCTGCTGATTAATAAATTTTAGCCTCAATTTCTCTACAAAGTTTATTTATTTATAAAAAGGCAAAAATGAGTTTTAATTATATCTGTAAGAAGAGTTGCTCCACATCACTTAGCTTTCGCGAGATCTATTATGCATCCTTTAGGAGCAAATAACACTTACTTCTCTACACGTGAAAAAAAAAAACGAAGAGCCGGAAGTGGCAGGTACGATTCATATCTACATCGACGGTTCTAAAACAAAACGAGACTCAGGATGTAGAATATACTCCAGATTCTTAAAACTAAATATAAAATGGGCTGTGAGCAATAGTGCCAGTGTAGTTCGAACACAGCTAACGGGGATTCTCATAGCAGCAAAAGAAATAACCAGAAACAATATCACTGGAAGGAACATGCTCATCTATACAGATAGCAGACAAGCACTACTCACCCTGAACAGACCACGAATTTATTTAGGGTTAGTACTAGAATGTCACGAAGCTTTGGCCGAAGTATCCATCAACAACGTGGTCACCTTAAAATGGATTAAAGGTCACGCCACATCGAAAGGTAACCGTCTTGCTGATTTACTCGCCAAGAAAGCAGCCAACCAAATACTTTTTGGACCTGGCGCTTCTATTGGCCTGACAAAATCGGTAGTCCATATACATTGTTTTTTCATCCCTTTTATCTTCTTGGTGCGCTCATATTTCTTTACAATATTCATATTTTGATTCTTGAACGCTGTAAATAAACTAGATACCAAAGAATTTTCTGTTCTATTGTACTTTTTGTTATTGGTTATTGGTTAAAAATGATTGAATATCTGGGTGGAATACTACAGGATTCTCTTCTAATTTGTTCAGAATTCTAAACTCATTCCATTGTTTCTTCAAATTAAGTATTTCCTCACTGGAAGTTAGAAGATTCATTATTGTAATGAAATAAACAAATTTTCATTCTTTAACAACATCACTGCTTGCAGTCGTTGCCAATGTTTAAGTTACAGACATAAACTAAGAATTCAAACAAATACTTTTTGGACCTGGCTTTTTCTATTGGTCTTACAAAATCAGCAGTGACAGACCTAATTAAAGAATATTCCCTTGTGAAATTCAAGGAAAGATGGGATGAACGGATGAAACAAGAAACTGCAGAGTTGCCAGGGAGCTCTTAAGTTATCCTGACAACACTGAAAGTAAACAAATACTTGACTGTAATAAAGGTTTCTTTATATCAAAGTTTCATCATAG